TTTCATTACATACCTCTCATCACAAAATAATTATTGCCTGCTGCTCCTTATATGCACATAAATCAATATGACAATCTATGAATCCATTATATAATCTAGAAAGCAATGCCTCAAATGAATTCTGTTCTGTTGCTTAGATTCTTCTACTTCTTGAAGTACAAAATGTACTTTCATTGAAAATGCTAAAAGAAATAATGTATGACATGTACAAATGTATAATAAAATGAAGTTACAATATTAATATATCTGCCAAATTTATTGCCTTAAAATTTTTTATATGACAAAATTGGCTTATTTTGATCTATTTTCATCCTTGACCCCCCCCCCCCCCCCCCCTCCACACACACATAAAAAACAAATTATAGCTCCCTTAAGGGGAAGGTTTGGCACCAATAAACTAGTCTGACTCCACCACATCCTGTATGTTCCTGTTCCAAGTCAGGAGCCTGTAATTCAGCGGTTCAAGTTGTCGTTTGTTCACTTTGTTGCTGTATATCATATTTGTTTATTTGTTCCTTGTTTTGTTATAAATCATTACATGTATCAGTCTGTTAGTTTCCTCATTTGCATTGTTTTACATTTGTCATTTTCATTAAAAACAAGGAATTATTTGAATCTGGAATAATTTTGAATTCTGGAAAATTGATTAGAAATGTATGATGAAAACTAACCCAACTAAATAGGGTTAGCCATGCGTGCATGGCTAAGGTTAATTTTACTTTCACTGTCACTTCAGTATGAACTAACTAACCCACCTTAGCCATGCGCGCATGGCTAACCATATTTAGTTGGGTTAGTTTTCATCATATATTTCTCATCAATTTTCCAGAATTCAAAATTATTCCAGATTCAAATAATTCCTTGTTTAAATGTCTTTTATAGCTGACTTTGTGGTATGGGCTTTGCTCATTGTTGAAGTCATCTTGTACCATAACTTATTATAGTTGTTAACTTCTATGTCATTTGATCTCTGGTTGAGAATTGGACTCTTCTCAATGGCAATCATACATCATTTGTACATGTACATGTACCACATCTTCCTATTTTATATTCACATTAAAGTATATGTAAAGTAGACCATTCATGCACTCTAGGGGTCCACTTCTTATAATGTACAACTTCAACCAGGTGATAAGACCTGCCGCTGTAATAGCTTAAAAATATGTGAATAGGTGTGGAAAACTATCAGAAGTATAATACATGTATGACATGTATGATAAGGCTGAGAATTACTAGATGTTTATTGTTATAGTACTCAGTAATAGTAGTCTCAGACTCAGGATAATTAAGGCTTATTGTACTTGTCATATGCAAAGCCCTGTAATTTTCTTAGTTGCAAGTCTTGTTTTGCCTTAAGTTAACATAACATAAGGAATTTGAGCCTCAGATTTGAGCTTTAATCAAATGTGATGATTTTCTCGGTAATGCCAGAATGTGATTCTTGTCCGCTCCAGCATGTCCTGGAATCACTCATCATTAAAATTTGGAAAAGGTTACATGTACATTATTACCTATACGCAATGTATGAAAAGGTATATATACATTTTTTAAATCTAAATTTAATGAAAAGGGGGGAGTAATCGATCCTGGTATCAGGTCCGTTCGCGCCCAATACACGTTCGCACCCTACACATTCGCACCCCACATGTTCGCCCCCTAGGTCCGTTCGCACCCTACACGTTCGCACCCTTTTTTTTTATTCAAAAACCTGATAAATGTTTAGATGTTTTGTAGATGTTTCTATCAAAATATTTTTATTTTCATAATTAAAAATTTGGGAATTTTTAAATGAAATATTGTTTTAAATTGATATGATAGTTAATTATTAAATGTTAATTATGTATGATTACTGCTAATTGGTATTTATACACAGCCTAATTTGGTGTTGTTGTTGAGTGTTTAAAAATCATGATTGTTGTCATGGTTGTTTTAACTTGCTTTAAATGTAAATACTGCATGTATTTAGCTTGGTATGAGTAAAAGTTTGAAAATAAAAAACATGAAAGATAATTGTTTTTAACAGCTTGGCTCCTTTGATCTCATGTGTGTCAGAATCTCACTTTATTCATAAACAATGAAAAAAATATTTATTGCAATACACTATCCAAAACATGATTACGAATTATTCAACACATAAAAAAAACGTTGTCAGAATCCCATTTCCTTTTGAAACAATAAAAAAGAAATATTTATACCAATACACTAACCAAAACATGATTAAGATTTTATCAACACCTAAAAAAACGTTGTCAGAATCTCACTTTATTTAGAAACAATGAACAAAAATAATTTATATATATATATATAGATATATATAGAGCAATACACTTACCTAAACATGATTAAAAATTATTCAACACAAAAATAAAATACTGGTCGTCAGAATCTCACTTTATTTAGAAACAATGAAAAAATATATATTCATAGCAATACATTTACCAAAACTCGTTTACAAATTATTAAACACAAAACCAATAAAAATTGGGCGCGAACGTGTAGGATGCGAACGTGTAGGGTGCGAAAGTGAAAGGGGGGAGAACATGATTGGGCGCGAACGGACCCCGATTCATTGATCCCCAGGGGCACCCTTATCTATTAATTGTAAAATAGCTACTAATTGCTAAAGAGATTATAAAGTCTTCTGCACAGTGTCATGGTTTTAAAACAACTGATAAACAAATACAAATATCACACACCATAAGACACGATTATGCAGGTCAGCATCAGTTAAAGTAATTAAGTTCTGTAGTGACATTAGATAAACAATTTCAATACATTACATCAAGTATATGATGCCCCCCCCCCCCCCCCCCCCCTTTCCAAGTTTGTCTTATTGTCAAAGGGTTTACAAATTATATGGTTATTTTGGATGTATTTGTGTCTTAATCTTGTAACATTCTCATTCTGACATATAAACAGATAATGAAACGGATTACCCAATGCAATTATATTTATATTACAATATCGTTCTCAGACTCAGCCTCAGGTTTACAATTATGTGAAATATCTAGTCAAATAGTTTTTCGTGAAAAATAAAGCACACACATCTTCCTGCTTTTATCCAATAATTAAACAAAATGTGCATAATAATATTTACCTTTCGTTGTGCTTTTAGGGTACGTAAAACTATCCATCTAAACAAAAACACTTTCGCTGTTTCGTTGCGTTGACTTTCTATAAATTTTCTATGTTTCGTTCCCCGGTTTCTTCCAGTTAATCGACAAGTCACCCATTTCAATTTATCTGTTTATAATAAATTTTGATTCACCAGTTTGAAAAACCAAAGTTCTTTGTATCATCTATCTCTCTCCATTCAGACTTTTTAAATGACAACAGCAGATCGCGTGAGCGTCCATGGATTTTGCGTCATAGTATAAAAAAAACGGTAATGGTGAAAAGATTTCCGAGTTTCCGTATTCGACGTACCATGCAAGCTTTCGTACATTTACGTATATATATATATGATGGTCTGGAATCAAGATTGGGGTTTAAGAATATAGAAAATAATGACAAAAAGTGCAAAATAAAGAACAAAAAAATAAAGAACAGATACTGAAAAAAGCAGAAATATGGAATAAAGAATCAGAGAATAAATATTGGGATTATTGATAAAAAAAAAGAATTGAGTGCACTTTCCTGTTTGAGAAATACACTATATAGATAATGAATGAAAAAATGTATGTGATAATTAAATGACAAATTTTGACATTTTCTCAAAACATTTTTTTTAAATGCCCTTTAAAACATATGAAAACATATGAAAATCATATGTTTTTCATATGTTTACAAACATATGTAAACATATTTTTTAAAACATATGAAAACATATGTTTGCTTCCATATGTTTTCATATGTTTCAAAACATATGTAAACATATGTTTGTAAAAATATGTTTTTCATATGTTTGGGACAAACATATGAAAAACATATGAAAATCATATGTTTTTCATATGTTTTGAAAACATATGAAAAACATATGTTGCAATTTTTCCTGTGTTGCTTTCGGGGTACATGGTCACGGTTAAAAAAAAAATAGATTGAATTAAGTACCAGTTCTCGGTTCTTTGTTCAATACAATTTCTTTAAAAATCTATATCTGCCAAAGGATTACTCAATTTACTGAAACGAATGAGAAATCTATTAGCCCAAGTTATCCAATATGACTTGTAAGACACTTCTTAAATAGAACACTAAGTATTGAATAATAACCAAGTTCAGCTACGGTCAACTTTGCCGGATGAAGTTGAAAACTTAGTACATAATCACTACCGAGCTGATGATACAATCGAGAACCTGTAGTCTTTACAATCTTTATAATTATGGTTCACACATTTTCACACGTTAGGCTGTAATTTTATTTCTAGACATTTTTGTTGTTTGATAAGGTTGTCATTGACGTACATCTTACATCGCCACATGTCACTATTATTAGCTAGCTTAATAACGTCTTATCTGTTTACCTTAAGGATGTAGTTAGGTGAAATTATAAAAAAATCTATAATTTAAAATTGATACTTTAAGTCAGAAGAGCATTAGTTAAGAAACAAAATAAGCTAAAAATATCGATAGGTTATGGAGCTCCTTTTCGAGATATTATTTTTTTTATAAACTGCGGGAAAAGGCTGACTCGGACTTTTACCTTATATTTGCATTGGTAATATTTGGGTCTCAAATTGAAAGAAAAGAAATCTAGAATCTACTTAAATTTTGGTAAATGGCCTTTTATATGCTATTGGAGTCTTATATGAAAAGAAAAATGGGTGTTATGGGGCAAAATATTTTAACCTGTATCGTTCGTAGGAAAAAAAACCATGGAGTCCGATTATCTGACACAAATTCCTAAACCCGACCTAAGTACATCCTTAAGTTTGCCTTGGTATCCTTGTGTGATTCAAAAATATATCCTTTTTGATGTACTTTTTCTGTACTTTTCTTATTTGTAAATTTATTAATATTAAAGCTTTTTGAATTGTAGAACTATTTATTTTTGTGAATTTCAGACGATTAAATCGAAAGCTAGTGACCCAATGACATTGTTTTTCACTAGTGGTACAACGGGTGCTCCAAAAATGGCATTGCATACCCATGGTAGTTATGGATATGGACATTCTATAACAGCAAGGTTATTATAAGATCGTATTATATAGACATACATTGTATGATATGATAATAAAGCATACAATCAATGTATCAAACTTAAGAAACAACTGTTACACTAATATTGTTGTTACTCATCTTCAGAAATGCGGAGAAGTTTACAAGCTCACAGCTTATTGTATGAAACCGCCCCTTTCGACGACTCGAACGGATTGCTTTGATAAATATCGATAACCGCTAAATTATCTGGCTAGGCAATTAGGTATTTTGAAATATTTCCAGAATTAATGGGATTTGTTGTTTTCAAAGTGATTTTGTTTTACATTTTCCTCCTTCAACAATGATAAAAACTAAATAAATAAAATCCGTTTTATACAGCATGCTAGCAATCTCATATCAGTTAACTCTTTTGTCCATTAGGAACAAAATTAAAGATAAGTTTGAATTCTATGTATTAACATAATAGATTTTATAGCGATTTTTGTACAGGTTGAAAAAGTCGGAAATGTTAAAATCTTTAGGGTTTTTACATTGCTTAAATAATACTAAAATGTTGCAATCATCTGGATTATTTTATTTTAAGATACTTGTTAGATATAGACCATAATGGTATGATGTGGAATATGTCTGATACTGGTTGGGCTAAAGCAGCATGGACTAGTCTGTTTGCACCATGGATCAGAGGAGCCTGTATTTTTATTCACAATTCTGATAAGTTTGACCCAGAAAGAACGCTACAGGTACACGAATTGAAATTCGAAAATGATCTGAAATGAAGTTCCAAGATTTAACAAAAAAAGTTTGAATAACTTCCTTTATCATTTCTCATATAGCTCCATTTAAAAGGGATTATGCATTAATTAATTTTAATTTTCAATTATATATGATTTTGTTAGAGACTGTGATAACTGAAACATATTCCCTAAAATCTGACATGTTTTTCATATTTGTATACCTTTTCCATTTTATAAAATTAAAAGTTACCTCGACATTTATATGTAATATTCCCAGTTTTAATTTTGCTCTTTTCCATTTTTCATTCGATTTTTAATTGTTATAAATGTCATTTTTTAGATTAGTCTTTTTCCAATAATCGTAATTCTTTCTCCTCATCATCTTCATTTATTACAATACAATAATTTCCTTTTAGATTAGAAGATATTTTAGGAGGACATGTTTTTTAATCGGATTATTAATGAAAGAAAATAATTTACCATAATGTCCACAAAGCTTCTCCAATATATATTTAATGCTCAAATCCAAATAAAGATTAAGTGAATGATTTATTGTTAAAATGTTGCTTGCTAATTGTTTAACTGCAACCAATACCTGCATATTCAGCATGGGAACACTTACAGGAGATATTAGTAAACATTAATGTATTATGGGTGTTACAGGAACGTCATCCTAAATATACCTCACAAGGTTCATGTTTACAAGAAACATTTCCCGTGCACATTATTATGACACATTTAATAGAATAAGAAGATGTGGTGTGATTGCCAATGAGACAACTCTCCACACAGACCAGACCAAATGTCATAAAAGTAAACAACTATAGGTCACCGTACGACCTTTAACAATGAACAAACCCCATTCCGCATAGCAAGCTATATATTGATGAGTTGTAAAAAAGAAAAAAAAAAAAAAATACCGAACTCCAAGGCAAATTCAAAAAGGGGAAGTCCATAAAAACTGACAAAATTAAACGCATTCAATCAACGGAACAAGTGAAAAACAACTGCCATATTCTTGACTTGGTACAGGCATTTTCCGAAGAAAATGATGGGTTAAACCTGTTTTTATAGCAAGCTAAACCTCCTACTTGTATGACATGTAACGTGTGTGGGCTTTCCATGTCTGTCAGAAAACTTCTTCCTATTTTCCAATACTTGCAATTACGAGTGGGATGTCATCGAAAAGTGGAGTAATTTTGTTGTGATTGTGAACTTCTAAAACTCAAGTTGTTTTGTTACATGTACGACTGAGACGCAATCTAATATAGCGTGACTTATACGGGGACCGAACCACGTCCACCCATACCTTAAACGAGCACCAGCTTCACTCAACGAGGGATTTTTCAGAAATACAGAATAGTATGTGTTCTTTTATTACATAGGGTATGTTTTCTTGTAAATGCATATTTTTCTTTGTAGATTTTAGATAAGTATCCTATTACTAATTTCTGTGCACCACCAACTGTGTATAGACATTTAGTAAAACAACCACTTCACAGATACAGCTTGTCGAGAAAGTTACTTTGTGTCGGTGCTGGAGAACCTGTTGTAAGTTGAGAAAATAGAACTTGAAGATAACAAGGACATTTATCAATAATAATATCAAAATAGTTAACACACACAGCCACATATGAAAAACTCGTTTTTGATTTACTCTCATCAGGCATGTTCAAACTTAAACATATACAAGCCAGGGATGTTTAAATACATAAAAATGTGAGAATCTATATGACCGAAAAGTACCTAAACAGAATAGCCAAATGAATCCAAAGTCAGCTTTACCTGAGAGAGTTGGAACCTTTGTTTGAGAAGCCGTAAACTAGAATTGTATTTCAATGATACGGTGGTTTTCATTTTTACATGATTTATTTACGCTAAATCATTTTTTGTACATAAATTAGGCCGTTAGTTTTCTCATTTGAATTGTTTTACATTGTCATTTCGGGGCCTTTTATAACTGACTGTGCGGTATGGGCTTTGTTCATTGTTGAAGGCTGTACGGTGACCTATAGATATTAATTTCTGTGTCATTTGGTCAATTGTGGAGAGTTGTCACATTGGCAATCATACCACATCTTCTTTTTTATATATAGTAATTACAATCAGTAATATAAAACAGAAACTGGTTTGTTACGTACAGTCTATTTGTTTAAATATGATTTATATGAACTATTAATTTTTTGTAAAAGAAATATGATGTATTATAAATATTCAATGATGTATTATCTGCATTTTGTAGAACCCAGAACTACTGAAAGAATGGCACGATGGTACTGGTTTGACTTTATATGAAGGTTACGGACAAACGGAAACTGTAAGTATTTTCATTGGCTACAGTATTACACATTTCATCTCTCAAATGTAAAGTATTAAATGAGTATATTATATATATATATATTACATATAACTCGTCTCAAATTTAGCCCAACAATATAAGCTCTCCAAATTTGCGTTAGCAAATTTTTATTCTTCCCTCAGCGGGATTTGAACCCTTGCTTCTGTGACATCGTGGGAACACCGCCTGCACCGTGTCCAGCGCCCCAGACCCCTCGACAACCTAGGCTACATGAAAATATAGAGTTGTTACACAGTATAGTGGCAAGTAGATGTGTGTACTTTTCAGACAGCTATTTTGTCTGTCGTAAAGGATGATAATGTAAATTACCATGCCGCGACATCAATTTTAATTTTATTATACTCGTCTAAACATGTGACAATTTTATGTTTTAGTTTGTAACCCGGATTTGTTTTTATCTCTATCGATTTATGAGTTTCGAACAGCGGTATACTACTGTTGCCTTTATTTATGGTTATACAGGGCTAACACCATAATATATATATAACTCGTCTCAAATTTAGCCCAACAATGTTAGATTTTCATTTGTTCTTCCCTTAGCGGGACTCGTGTGACATCGTGGCAACACCGCCTCCACCGTGTCTAGACGTGTATATATAATACAATAAAATTTAAAAAAAAATGATGTGGCGGCATGGTAATTAACATTATCATCCTTTACGACAGACACAATAGCTGATCTGAAAGGTACACCATCTACTTGCCACTATACATCATGTACTGTGTTACAACCCTACCGTGGATAAAGCCGACGAGGAAAGGCATTACATCGACCACCGAAAGCTATATATATATATATGTTGTGTAAAAGATGCAAGTTTGTACAAATTATAATTTGTACAGGGTTTTTGTACAAGTGATAAGTTTTTTAACAGGTGATAAAAATTTCTTAACGGATGATAAACTTTTCTAAAATTTATCAGCTTAATGTCTTAAATTCAAAATGTATATGCTTTAACCTAACATTTAGTGCTATTCTCCTTGTCCTAAAACTGGAAATAAGGACACCTGAATGGTTTAAATTCTATATTTTATTTTTTCTCCTTATATCAAAATCATATCCATAAAAGTCTTTTTGTGTTCTTATAATGTTTTTGTATCAATGCTCAGTAGTAGACTGTTTCATGTAGTCATGGAAATATGACAGACATATGCGAAACAAAAGACTCACCAGTGACGCTTCAATCAAAAAAGTATAAAAGGCCAACAAAAGTACGAAGTTGAAGAGCATTAAGGACCGAAAATTCCAAACGGTTTTGCTAAATACAGCTCTATATGAGGAGAAATTATCAAGCTTGCTTTCGTCAAGCGTAAAACTGTCTAACTGAGGGGAGAAAAGACCAGAAATAACACGATAAACAGATTTTCGGGTTTTCTGCTTATAGATATAGTAAAATATCAGCCAAAAAGTTCATATTGTGGCTCGAGGCTGATATTTTACAATATCAATGTGTAGACACCCGATCATCTATACATATATTGAGTACTGTGATAACTAGACTATGTCGTTTCGATTGCCTGTTAGGTCAAGTAAAACACTAATCATTGGTTTATGGTGCCTCTTCGTCAGTAAGAGCACAGCAATGACAGTTCTGTTCAGATGTAGATATTATGTCATGATATTGTGACATTTTATCATGTGGACTGTTATTTGGGAGCTACATACAAATAAGAAAATGTGGTTTAATGGTAAATGAGACAACTATGCATAAAAAGATAAGACTAAGATAAAAGGACAAATATGTGATCAGTTTAGTACGTTTAAATCAGTGAACGTGTCAGTTTAGCACACAGAAGATTATATATATTTTGTATCTTATTACACGTTATCGTCAAGTATATGAATGTACTATTTTCCACTAAATGTTAAACATTCTTAAATATCAATCGATGATAAGGTATTGTTTTGATATTTTGAAAACATAGATATCGAGACAATCAGATATAGAGTTCGACATAGAGTATTTTTTTTACGTTTGAATAACTGTTTTATTTAGACGTTTTTATGTGGGACATATCCATGTGTTGAAATCAGACCAGGTTCTATGGGGAAGGCAGCTCCTGGGATTGATCTGCAGGTCAGTGTTTTATGTTAGCAATATTAATAAAGGGAGATGTGGAGTATAAATCAATGAGGCAGCAACCCATCTGAATACATTACCAAAAGATATCTAGAGGGCAACATACAAATGTACGGTATTGAAGATACAATTACAACTGATTTCAAACTAAATGATATGACTATTATAAATATATTCTTTTATGCATAGATTTAAGTATATTTGTTGTAAAGAGCATTTACTAATAGTGATGCCTGACATAAATTTATACCTTGAGTGAAAGTATGTAAACTTATTGGTTGGAACATTATTTAACAGAATTTTCTAACCGTACTAACTATACATCACTAAGAATAAACTCATCATAGATACAAGAATTAAAATTTTGTAAGTCAGACGCGCGTTTCGTCTACAAAAAACTCATCAGTGACGCTCGAATAAACAAGTTTAAAAGGCCAAATATAGTACGAAGTTGAAGTGCATTGAGGACCAAAAATGAGTTTCAACCCGTTACCATACATGAAATGAACATGAAATGTAAAAAAAAAACCAAATGATAAATTTCGTGCGTCCAAAGTGCTTTTCTGGATTTACTTTTACCAGGAATGCTCAAACCTAAACTTTTGATTTGATTTGATTTTGATTTGATTTTTGGTGTTTTAACCCCACTTTTAAGCACCGCTTTTGGGCTATTTCGTGGCGGCCAGTTTTTATTGGTGGAGGAAGCCGGAGTGCCCAGAGAAAACCATCGACCTTCGATAGGAAAACTGACAATCCTAGTCAGTTAAGATTGGAGTCGAGTGCACCCGCACGAGCGGGGTTCGAACTCATAACCTCAGTGTTGACTGGCTAGTGATTACAGTAGTAACTACTTAGGCCACTCGGCCCTAAACTTTTGAAAGCCAGTGATGTGTTATAACGCTGAAACATTAGCAGCTTTAGGACTAGATTAAACATAATTATGCATTGCACCGACTTACCAGACGACAAGATAATCATTAAATTAAGAATAAGAAGTTATCAAAAAATGTTTTAAACTTCAAGGTATTCAAAAAACAAAAGATCATAGTCCTTAAATGATGGCCAATTGTTTAAAAAAAAAACCTGTCCTATTCCTTAGTACACATTGAAAAATAACTTATTGAAATTTCATAGCTACAAAAGAACTAAGAAACACAATAAAAGGACTACTGCATTTGCAATATACAAAAATTGTATAACACAGATGGTGAGTTATATTTTTGAGAAAATGCTAATCATTTACAATTTCTACGATTTGATAGAGTTATTATGTACTATTACACATATTTATACAAATATTTTTGTAGATCGTTGACAATGATGGTAATATATTGCCTAGAAACACAGAAGGTGTGATTGGTGTAAGAGTAAATCCTGTTCGACCAATGGGATTGTTTTCCCATTATGTCGTAAGTGATGATACCTTTTTGTATTAATGATAAATAGAATAATTCGCACGTATGCAAATATAAATGTGCAGAAACATTGTTTGACTGAGAAACTTGAAAAGAAGATATTAAATTTAACTTTTTTTTGTTGTTTCTATATGTTTGCTACATAACATTGTTTTTTAATATATTAAAATGCAACGATTAACAGTAAATACATCAAATTCCAATTAAGCAAAGTGAATTTCCAGTATCCCTTAAACAAAAAAACAAGGTTCCAAAGTACACAGTACAATATAATTATGTAGACATAACCATGAAGTTGTGTTTCTTTATGCCGACCTTTCACTTTAGTTAATTTAGAAAACATATTTGCAATAGAAAAGGTTTAAATCGACTTAACGCAACCACGTTTATTTAGAAAAATTAAAGAAATGCGACTCTAATGCTGTAATCTACGCCTTCATATTTTAATCCTATCTTATGTATAATAAGGAAATGTGCTTCATCAGAAATCTCTACCGAAAGTTTATCAGACCATCTGACATCCTAAAATAAGAATATTTGTATTTGAGCTTGTATTTTAATCAAAGTTGATTGAAAGTAGTTACTAAGAAAAACGAACGATAACTATTGTTGTTACTTCTGACTTTTCATAAATAAAAAGAGCCTAATCTTCAACAGTTTTCAGAAAATGCAAGAAATTATATCAACCGTCTGTTGTTCCTTAGCATGATAACTTTTTCAGTCAGTAGTTTATCGTTCGTTCTGTTGGTTGATATAGTCTAACGTTTGGTTTCGACAGGTTTATGGACTTCCCACTTTCTGAATCTACCTTGGAGGTTGGTACTTTTGTAGAACGGTTTTGTATTCGGACCATTTGAGTACATTGTAACGGACAAACAATGTTTTGACCTTAGGTAGCAAATAGAATAACAAACCATTTGCCTTAAATTCTTTTAGGATGATGATAACAGAAATAAAGCCGTCTTTAAAGGTGATTTTTACTTAACTGGTGACCGTGGGAAAATGGATGAAGATGACTACATTTGGTTTATTGGACGTGATGATGATGTCATGCTGTCGTCAGGGTAATGTCTTTTTATATGGAATGTGGTGATTTGTTTGTTTTTGTTTAAAATGTGTAAACTAATTCTGTCACACTATAATCTAGTAGTCATTTGAACCAATTGATAAAGCAATGAACTTATTTTTTAAAGTTTTAACAATGTATAACATTATAATAGTCGAGTTGAACTTTCAAATTAGAGTTTTGTCTATCATTTTTGTTAAGACTTGAAATTTTCGACAGTTTATTGTCCAATTAGAGTATTTGCAACGTATAAATTTTTGTTTTTAATTTGATGCGTGCATTTGAAATTCCTCAATTCGAATGAACTTCAGATTTAGATTTATCTATATATTGCAGTTATAAACTTATACGAAAGCGTGTTGTTCTCTTTAGTTATAGAATAGGTCCTTTTGAAGTGGAAAGTGCATTGATAGAACATCCAGCAGTTCTTGAATCTGCAGTAGTAAGCAGCCCGGATGAAGTAAGAGGAGAGGTATATACATTTGTTTTACTTTCATATAATTATTTTATAATAAGTGATAATGATTTTATTTCTATCAGTATGGTATGAATAATTAAACGCTAAATAAACATGTATACGGAAAGTTGATCCCTGGCCATGATTTTACGTTACCAGCGTGATTTGCCTCAACATTTCAATCATGTTCAGAACAGTGTGATATTCTTTGTCAACTTTCAAATTAATTTTTTTTATAATACACCTCCCAGTTTATGTATTGAAATAGTAAAATAATCTCTGAAATAGGAATATTTGATTTACCAGCGGATATGGACGAGACCAATCTACATCCGCTGGTTTACTTATTGTAAGGTTAATAGAGGTTTCTTCACATCTACAAGTGTACCAAGGAAATAATAGAGTTCTGTTGTACTATAGAAGATTACGTCTATTTACAAATCAATATTGACGCATCATAGAAAGACTTAACCCGCCTATAGTTCGGAAATAAAACTCTGGTTACCTAGACTTTTTCTAAACAGTTAGTAGACAATTAAATCTTACGAAAAAGAATTTTTTTTTTTGTTAACTGACAGCTAATAAAAATACAAGATTTCCTTTAATAATCTTTTGTAAATTTATCGATATCGATTGTGGTCCAATTTAACACTTGCGCACTGCGAGTGCTGATAATAGTAACGTATGGTTTAATGAAATTTCACAATGACAACATGTGATGATAAAATGTTTTATTATGAATTTTTCCACTGACCTTTATTATTTTTTAAACACAAGATTTTTTTTGTGATCAATTGAAGGTCGTAAAAGCGTTTGTAATTCTAACAGAGCCATATTCCAAACACGACAAACAGAAATTAGGAGAAGAACTACAGAATCATGTAAAATCTGTCACTGCACCTTATAAATATCCTAGAAAGGTAAAACTCATATTATGTATGTACCTTTATTGAAAGATATCAAATAAGTTCTGCAGAAAAACAGTATACTTTAGTGACTTCGAAAATTACTAAAAGACAATCAGGCAAACAAAGGTATGAACATACGAATTGAATAGTCTCTTACAAGAGTAAATCCAGACGCTTCGCCATGGAAAAGGTTGCCCGAGGCTCGTAAATCGATTAGAAAGAGACAAATCAAGGTAACAAACAAAAATCGAGGAAATCGCATGAACTTCTATAGGAGCGTGACCGAGTGCGTCGACAGGATATTCCCTGTTTTGCATGCATCTCCCGTCATGCGAATCACACTGCCAGAATGTCAAAATCGGGAATAGGACATAATCGTTGAAATTACAAATCAGTTAAGTCACTGTATGATCAACCATTACGAGATGTCGACCAAAATCTTGCGAGACAATGATTTCCGTCATTCTTCTTATAAATCATGTGTAAATCACATAAGCACACTTCATCAATAAATTATCAGTTTAGAATATCACATCATTTGTGATATCGTTTTGGAATATCATGTTAATTTAAATAACTAAACATGGTAGGCATATTGTAAGCTAGAGCTATACCATTAGTAAAGTACATGTACCATAACGATTGTATTGAAGACTCATCATCAACAGTACATCATTACTTAAACACTATTAATCATTATTAAAGTTCATTTGAATCCGATGACATTAAACAAAAAACCTATAATTACAACGTCATACAAGACACCTATAATTCCAACATCATACAAGACACCTATAATTACAACATCATACAAGACACCTATAATTACAACGTCATACAAGACACCTATAATTACAACGTCATACAAGACACCTATAATTACAACTTCATACAAGACACCTATAATTACAGCGTCATACAAGACACCTATAATTACAACTTCATACAAGACACCTATAATTACAACGTCATACAAGACACCTATAATTACAACGCCATACAAGACACCTATAATTACAACGTCATACAAGACACCTATAATTACAACATCATACAAGACACCTATAATTACAACGTCATACAAGACACCTATAATTACAACTTCATACAAGACACCTATAATTACAACGTCATACAAGACACCTATAATTACAACTTCATACAAGACACCTATAATTAGAAAGTCATACAAGACACCTATAATTACAACTTCATACAAGACACCTATAATTACAACGTCATACAAGACACCTATAATTACAACGTCATACAAGACACCTATAATTACAACATCATACAAGACAATGGAATCAATTCCTTCAAACAAATAGTGTATTATATTTTTAATCGTATTTTTTTTCTAATAGAAAAATCGCGTGTAACTATGTATAAAGACATTGAGTGTTTGTGCAAAGAATAATTATAAAAAAAAATTTTCGTTAATCAATTTATTTTGAAATTTCAACAATAAGCGTTTCTTTTGAAAATATTAACAGTTTTTAGACGGATGTTTGATATTTAGCAAACAAAATGCAAGACAATATTCTCTCGCTTTTCGGCTTGGTATTCTATATCACAATACTTTATCTTACATTTTTGTTTGTTTTGTATGTGATTTAATTAATTTTTTCGTTGTCTTTTATGTTACGACTCTACATCTTGTATTCATCTCAGTTACTCCCTTTTTTACCTGCTTTTTTGTGCATTAATGCACTTAAGGTAAATATCTTAGTAATGAAGTTGTTAACTTCTATGTCATTTGGTCTCTTAGTGGAGAGTGATCTCAGTGGCAATCATACCACATCGTCTTATTTTTATATTTACATTTAAAAAAATTATTAAACAAAAATTGTATTATAGATTGAGTTTGTGGATCAGTTGCCAAAGACAGTCAGTGGTAAAATAAGAAGAGTTGAACTGAGAAATAGAGAATGGGGGCGGCAAGAGATTGGAGAGTCAGAAAAAAATAGAATATCATGTTTATTCGAAAGAATACCTTTTTATATGCATTACCCTCATTCATCTGTACCATATCACAGAAAATATTAGAAAAATAATGTATTATTATGCAATATCAAAATAGAATAATGCATAGATGTTCTGTGAGTTCTTGTTTTTATACGGATGGAAACCCAACTTTGTTCATATTCCACATGAATGTGTGTGAAAAGACATATATTAAATTTCCATAGCAAGAAGATTGATAAACAAAATCAGAAAGCATCATGCATTTTTATGATTACTATTTAACGAAATTTGTTTTTCTAAAAACAGTTATCTATTCCTTAGTTTTATTGAAAATTCCTTTTCTTTCTGTCATGTTATTCAAGTGAAATTTCGATATTGACTAATGTTGATGAGGATAGTTTCGGAACACCATTATCCTGAAAAAATAAATTGATACATAAAAAGGTTAACAGGAACCATCATATTACAAGTACTAAAAAAATGATCATTATATCAAAAGCATACACTGTAAACATGTATTTGCTAACGTAAAATAATATTCTAGTAGTACAAATATATATATATATATATATATATATATATATATCATTACAAAAATCGATTGACGAAGTTTTATGTTCGCTTTTCATTATGTAAATTATTACGATTAATACAGTTTTTCGAAAAAAATTTCGTCAAAACTTGCGTATTGGTTTTATGATCAGCAATTGTAACATACAGTACTCTCTGTGTAAAATTTGTCATAATCAACTTCTCTGTAAAAACTTCTCTTTACTTATTCATATCAGTATCTATACGACAAAAAAGTACTAAATTAAATTTAAAATATAAACGCTAAAAATTAAAAAAAAATCAATATGCTTCAAAAATAAGTTTCTGTCAAGTTCCACTGATCACCGTATTTAAAAAAGTAAAATCACAAAAATACTGAACTCCGAGGAAAATTCAAATAGGAAAGTCCCTAATCAAATGGCAAAATCAAAAGCTCAAACACATCGAACGAATTGATTACAACTGTCATATTCCTGACTTGGTACAGGCATTTTCCTATGTAGAAAATGGTGGATTGAACCTGGTTAAATAGCTAGCTAAACCTCTCACTTGTATGGCAGTCGCATCAAATTCCCTTATATTGACAACGATGCGGGAAACCATCGGGAGTTTATGATTGGTGTAAAATCTCTGCACGTTTCACACATGCATTGAGTGGCGAATATCCCTTCATTTTGTGTTTGAGGAAATTTCAATGACTGATGTCAATACGAAATGTATACTAACCGTTGCATTGACTTGATAATGATAAGTTGTATGACCATGCTGGAGTTTCTTCTTTAACGTTATATCTCCTGTGATTGGATCGATAACAAAAGCCTTGTATCTGCACGAGGGAGAAGGCACCTGGTAGGGCTGCAAAATATATTTTAAGTTTGAGCAGTACCTCGATACTTAACATATGGTTTTGTGAACATATGAATCGCATATGCATCTTTTTGCGAAATTCGCTCCTGTGTATCTTTGTAAAAAAAGATAGAACAGTAACGGTCATAGTAGCAAGCAACGGTACAAACTATTATACATTTATTCAATTACTTGTTAAGGGTGTCTTCCAATCATTAAAGACGTAAGAGTTTTTAAAAAAAAATGTTTAAAGTTAAAATGAAATTCAAAAGAGTGATGAAGCACGGTTCTTATGTTTTTAAAATTACTCACCAATCAATATTTTAAGGTCATTTATGTTTCAACATATCCCAAGTGTATTTCCAAACAAAAATTCGGTAATGCAGTGTTTCATTACGAGAATGACATTACGAAGATGATACATTTGTAAATGGATTTCTGAGTCGGTCTTTCAACTATCAACAAGTTTATATAAAAAACATACGCTCATCGAGTAGTTTATTGCTGCATTTGGTCCATCGTCCGCATCCATTGCTGTTACATGTAAAATTTTGGACCCAACTGCCAATCCCTACAAAAGCCAAATAAATCGAAATGTTAATAAACTTTATACTAAATACTAACCGACGCATTTCTTGAGTTAGTTTTCTTTACTAAGTAAAACCAAAAATATGTTAGCTTACGCAAAGTCGTTTAACCATTTGCTCGAACGATTAAAATAAGAAACAATTGCTTCATAGTTTGAGATATCAAATATATACTACTTTGAGGTGTGGTTTAAATACTCTTACATGCATTTGTATTTAATAAATGAGATATGGGGCCGAGAAGCGACCTTAAGAAAACAAACCAAAAAGATTTCGGCCATATCAAAGACTAAGCAGGTAATATTTGTAGCACTATGACGTATTCACTGTGTCATATTTATATTCGTCCTGAATATTCATGAAACATTTAAAGCAGACGTTAGGCAAACAACAGTCAATCAACCAATCATATTTACATATTTATATCCCTATGGGTTTCGTGTGATCGTGTTGGAAATGTTTATCGATTGCTGAAGTTGTGATACGGTTGAAATCTTTTTGGCGCTATATTTTTGCATTTTAAACCATTTTTGCGAGTTCATTATACAAATAGAATTGTACGAAATATACTATCGTCTACTCACATATCCAACAACAGAACGATAATGGCCGTGCACAAAAAAGGGGGCGTTGTTATTGACATCATCAATATGTAGTGGCAAAGTCAATAAAGTCTGAAATAGTGAAATATTATTAACCGACTACTGTTACTAAGAAACCAAGCAGGATCTCAAGGCTTCATTTTAACTTTGGTGGATAGTTGTCTCATTGGTAATCATCACACATCTCCTTATTTTAATAAGAATTATCAATACGATTTTAGCAAATGATACTTAATTTCATATTCTAGTCAACAAAAGAAACGATACAAGGCAATGCATTTTCCATATATAATAAAATTCGATACATTGTACCCAGGTAAATAATTGCTCAATTGGTCTAATATTTACAGAGTGTTATGTTCTTATCAAAACCATTGATTTAAGGCAAATACGCGAATTTTTGTTATTTTAAAAATCGTATTTTCACCCAAAATTCAAAAATCGATATTAGAACTTAGAACTTTAAACTTTAACATTGTCTGCTTAAAATTTTGAATGCCTTTGCAGATATTTGAATACCTAATTCTCATTTTCGAAATTAAGTGCCGACTTTTGTCATCATTTCCCGCAAAATAAATTTGACCCCTGTGTTCAATAACACGGTATTTTCTCACTTTCCAAGTTGATCAGATTCTTTTAATCATATCCATTTTCTCTTCAAATAAAAGTTTGTCATTGGATAATTTAACAGTTTTTCCTATTTATTATATTTTATGATAAATTGGAGTTCAAACTTGTGTATCGTTACTTTTCTTGACTAGTATATTTAGCAGCAAGTATAAGACACCGATCCAATTAAAAAAGTATTAACAAAAATACCTTACTCCAAGGAAAATTCGAAAAAGGGAAAATCCATACAACCTGACAAAATCGAACGCTTGACTTTACAAACCAACTGAACGAATAGAAAACAGTTGTCAAAAAAGTTTTATGAAGAAGGAAATCTAAGAGTTGTACTCAATTTGACAATATGAATACGAAGTAAATAGTCGCATGGCTGAAGCTAGCTTAACTACTATCTTAATTCTGCATATTGTGGAATGATTTTTTTAATTGAAATACAGTTTGCAATTATCAATTACACAAAATAATAAATACACATTTTCAGAATATGATTCGAAGCTGATCCTGTATCTCTATATCTTCAGCAAGATAGCTGTTGTGCAGTTCACCAATAATAACAAGAATTTAATTTCGCAATTGCTGTTTTCAATAATAATGAATTTTGCAAAAACAAAATGAATGAATATCGTCATTAAATTGAATGTGGAAAAGTTAATCAACTGCAAATTTCAACTGAATTAAACAAATAGGTATTAATAGATGTGTTCATTGCATATTTTATGCAAACCTCTAATAAAACTGTAAAGTTCATCTTTTACCTATACTTACATTACCATGATTGTCATGTGCTTGAAATGTCAAATACCATGTACGTTCGACCTAAAAGACACAAAATGCAAACATACATTGTAAGGACAATTAAGTAATTAAAAGAGAAACTAACTAGCTTTAAGGTAGATTCACTGTATACCGCCATCTTGGTTTGTACAATAGCAGTACAGTATCGGTCTAGTTCTTTGCCTAAATCCTCAAATTTTGAGACAGATTTGCAATTTATGTGTAAGACTACTTATTTGTATAAAGAAAAATAGGTGATTCATCGCATTATCCAAAATGTTTAAACAAAACCAAATATTTGTGTTTTTAGAATCAATTTTCAACTTGGTCACTTAAGGGGAGATAACTGTTATGATAAAATTTTTATACTGGACTGATAGTGAAATTTTCATTTTTTACTCGTAGCAAGAAAACAAGTATGGTGACACATTTTTTTCTTTTTATTTTCTTAAAGCATATTATAAAACCTATCTTCTCATATTTTATTTCAAAATTCTATCTCATAGATTTCTTTTCATTCACAAAAATGTGTTTTTTTCATAAACAATCTATACAAATTTGGGCAATTTTGCACGACTTCTAGCTTGAAAAATAGCACTGCGACCCATACTTTTTATTTTATTTTTGAAAAAAGCATTGAAAAAAAAATTTTTGGCAAAGTATAAAAAAATTCTATCTGACGAAATATATACCGATGATCCACCTTAAAAAATATCCAGATGTCCAAAATATCAATACATTCTTGTTTGTATTTGATTCCACCACTACTGTTGTCATTTTTGCTACTTTTGGTTTGTTCGTTTCAAGTAATAATTGTCAGGAAGAAATTTTCGTTATATAGATATATACGTAAACAATGCTTTAATTGGGATTTGCAGTATTTTAATTTTGTGTGTTTAATAAGAAAAAACATATGCTTCAAAGCATTGAATTATCTAGACAATGCACAGGACTCACATATGTTATCCTTAGATTGTAGAAAAATTTGAAAATAACGACATTAGGCTGTAGTCGCTCCCTTTTCAGTCGAAGACACATGCTATGTGTATTCCCAAAGTTCAGCCTCAAAGTTCAGACCATTTACTGGTCTCTAGTGATGTATATTTGACTCTTGAATTGTTACGTTCGTTCAGTAAACATACTACTAACCTTTCGTCCTATATACTAAATTTATGAAATACACATCATGTAAAGAATGTAACGTAATATCAATACCTCTCTATCCGGGATCTTCTTAAGAGCAACTATGTATGTCGAGTTGATTCCTACTATAGTGGGGAACAGAAAAACTCTTGATGCTGTCGCATTGTCGTGTGTTGTCACAGTAACTTCGTCATTTGTTTGACTTGAAGCGTCTATTATGACAATCTCTGTTCCTAAAACATGTAAAATAAAAGTTCAATTAGCATTGTATTTTTTGTTTTCTTTAGTTTTATGAACTTGTTCGTAGTTTTTAGAGAAAAAAAGTATTTATCTATCTATCTATTTTCACTTTGTTCTTATATTTGTTTTTATAAGACATTTGATGAAAGAAAGAAAAAAGAAATATGAATTTGTTTATTCACCATTATTAAAATAATCTATGGCTTGCAGAACAAATGTTAAACTTAGACGATTTGATTTAACGCCCTTAAATGTTTTATGTACTAGTATTTATTATTTCCAAACGGATTCTCAACTAAAAAAACGTTTCAAAATCACATGTCACACACAGAATTCGTTATCGTATGTTTATTGCTTCCATTGGGCCGATGGTGTTGCTGATAATCTATCAGTCTCTGATCATGCTGATGTTACACTCCACCTTAGTTTTTCGTACTGATATGATTGAAACAATACATTTTGATTGTAAATACTTATTTCATTATTTTTTTAGTTGCCCTTAAACTAAGGCTTCAACTCCATCAGAACTGGGCGATTTCGGAGTTTATGATGGGTGTAACGGTATGCATAGTTTTACTTAAAGCCCTATATGCAAAATAAATTCATAATATATGCATTTTTGTAAGTTAAATTGTTTAGAAGTGCTTATATTTACTCTTCGCAGTCATTAAAACTCATAGATCCTTCCTGAATATTATTAGTGGGGTGTTTTTGTTCTATCAATAACCCAAAAGTAAGCCGTAACACCTAAATCTACTTTTTTGTCACCGCGACATAAAAAATGCAAGCTAGAAATACAAAAATATCTTAACAAAACTAACAATAGTGTGTCATATCCTGAATATGTACTAAATATTCCATATTGCTAGAAACAGCAGAATAATTTAGAAAATTTGAGGGCCCACGGGCAAAAAACAGAGAAAATTGCCAACCCCCTGGGTAATAAAACAAATAATTTAACTTGTAAATGCTATGATTTTATGATTTTAATGGTCTTTATATAGAAAACAATGACTGTGCTTGGAAGTTATGCAAAAATCAGATGTTAGCAGTCATTTCTATAAAATTTTAAGTGAATTTGTACATCAGACTGGTATCTGCATACATAAAACTATTGCAAATATGGCTTTGTTTTAACACTTCTAGTTCATATATTAGCTAAATTATGTCAGATATATGGTTAGAGATGATACTGTTGTGACAAAAATTCTAAACTGACCATTTGAAGCAGAAATTGTGAACTTTCATTGACAAATAGGCATACAGTAAGATGTGGACTGGAGACAGAGGTAGGATTAGATACTTTATATAATCTTGAATGTTTGAATGATTGACTGCTAAACATTACATTTAAAGTATTCTGAAATGCTTTCAATTTGTTATCAGAACAGTTTTAAACAGGTTCTAGGCATTTCATGTCAGAAAACATGCAAATAGGGTAAGCTTGCAATAATTAAAGTCTTGTTTTCAAATTCTTTAAAAAACTGAAACAGGGGAGGGGGTATAAAATGTACAGTAAAAGAAAACTTAGAGTATATGCAATGATTTCTTTAAGGCTATAATTCTGATAAATAAGTATTAATGTGAGAAAAAGTGTTTTTATAGAGTTTTATATTTGAATAAATGTCTGTATAGGTTGCACTTTGTAAATACAGCTGTTTCTCAAACCACGCCTCTTTTGGGAAGATAGAGAATATTCATAGATAATTAATTTTGTTTACATAATGGTTCCCAGTTATGATCTCTATGTTTCATCTCATAGAGACATAACTTGGGAATGTTACCAGTAAATATACATATGAACATTGTTTATATTGAAATCTGTGGTAATCCTACAGTTAAGGTAGGGGTAGTTAAGAAATTTAGTGTTAGTTTAAACTCTTAGAAGTTCGGGGCATATAAACGTTGAAAATATGCCGCATAGCCCTATATTTTGACCTTTGTAAAAAATAGTAGTGCATATGAACTTTCCATTCTAGGATAAGATTTTTTTCAAAACTTCATAGTAAAAGTGGTACAGTTTTAGCCGTAAAAGGAGTTCCTATGGGAAATTGCATTGTCAATATTAACAGAAATGCAACCTACAGTGTTAACCTCTTTTTTGATATTCAATGCGTTTTCACGCTTAAATTAGTTCCCAAAATCTATAAAGTTCCAACTCAATTTTATTTGACAAAATCGTAGGTAGCTGTGAATGTCAGATGTTCTTGACCTAATTTGCCTGGATCATTGATCAATACAGAATTTTTCTAATGCTAGAATACGTAGACTGTCATCCTCGTAACTTGCTCAACTATTAATATGTTATAAGTACTTGTTAGCAATTTGCATGATTATCATTAAGTCTTTTCTATTTTTTTTTAGCTGTAGCGCTTACATAGAATACTTCGTCACCTCTGGAAATTCTGGACAAAAGAAAATCTTTATTTCGGCGAGAATGCTTGGATAACAGGAGATGCTGATCCTGTCGACGCACCATATATCGCTCCTTTTGGAGTTCATACGATCCCCTCAGTTTTGATGTGTCTCTTTCTAATCGATTTACTAGATTTATACATCGGTAAACTACTGCCACCTTAACTTGGTATATAAAATTGAAAATAGACAAAGTATGTAAGGAAATTACGTACCAACTCTTGAATTTTCCTTGACATTGAGGTATGGGAGATTTGTATGAATTATTGGAGGCTTATGTATAACTAAAGCCGTGGTGTATTCTACAAATATAAAATCATAATATTGGTCTTTAAGTAAATTGAAAACAAAACCACATAATTTAGATGTCAATAGATAATTCATCTTGTTTGTATATTTCCTTTTCATTATTTATGTAATTGTACTCTAAATAAGGTTGTAACTTTCTATGGCAAATTTTACAATAGTCAAAAACTTCGCTTGAGATCGTTTTGATTAAACATTTCATAAAGCATGGTTTCCAATCTCTAGGTCTTGAGCGAACTGTTGTACCTATCAATAATACAAGAAAGTCATTCGCACGGAAAATGTGGAAGTAGGATTTATAGGCCTAGTTCGTGAGTATCACCCTAAGGGATGATAATTAATTAAAATAAAATTCCTTGATAAAGTTATTTTGTAGGTAGTTGCATTTTTTATCATATTTCTTTAAACTTTTGTCATTAGATTTGGAACAAAGAATTCAAAGTTGGAACTAAAAATCAACCCCATCAACCCCATAAACCACTAGGAAGGTAATTATAGAGCATTAACGGTGCTAATTTTTCTGCACCAGAAGCGCATTTCGACAATTAAAGTATCTTCAGTGACGCTCGAGGACAAAATGTGGCCCATGAAGTGTTGATATAACTGGAACGGACCAAAGTGTATAGACAAAACGGAACTAAGAATACATTCCTTAACTCAAAATGATTTTCAAAGATTGATTACAGCATATTGCAATAAAACTACATTCGTATTTTCATGCCAGCGCTGTATTACATAGCTAATGGGACGGTGATCTCCGGGAGGACTAATCGTCAACCAGAAGAGCTATCGACATTCTCGAAGTAATAGCATTAACGCTTTTACAAGTTTATTCACTTGCCAAAAATAAGTATAGTAAGGACGGAAACATAACACCGGTACATTTCCCCCAGGTATTTTCTAAAAAGCAGTACTGTACAAATAATAGCTGTTAAAGTTTATTATTTGAAAGCATTTTATCAATATGTCTTCGTTTATGTAATAAAGAAAATTTAGAAGGTAATTCCGTATCAAATAGGAATTTTGCTCATTGACTGTTAACTATTACTAAATCACAATCATATTACTTTCTGATGAAAAGTATAAACCTAGAACACTACTACTCGTGAGTACTACACAGTTACATGGTATAAAAGCAATGCGCCATATACTGGATTTAAAATTATGAATATAGATACAAATATTGAAATGCACGCCAAATCTGAAACTTCAACATCTCCTACAATACGACATAATTGGTACTGCAAGTTTTACAAAAATATAGACATATATACAGATAACATAATATAGAAAACAATTTCCATATTTAGGAAAGTATGATGCTTAATTCAAACTAGTATAGTTACCTGGTACGTCTTTGGTCACAAAATTGTTTTCATATGTGTCCTATAAAAGTCATCCAAGGTAGATAAGAAGTTGAAAAGTTTCACATGTTAAAGGGACATGTCATTGGACAATACACAGAAATGTTCACATGTAGTACTGTCCAACCTTTTGTTTTCCCACTGACACTGTCAACTTCGGTTGTATTCATCAAGATTGTGTATAAGCACTTGAGCATATAAAACAATACCCATACATTGTTGAACAAATTTGACAAGTATGCTTCGGTAATGGAAGTTTAAAAATCATCTTACAAAATAAGAGAATATACGTGATGAAACGGGTGTATGAAAAAATACATAAAAAAAAAAAAAAAACGATGCCTGCTTAGTTTTTGTATTACATTACCTTTTTATCAAAACTGTCAAATTTTGTGAAATAATGTTTATTTAAAATAAACAGTGTGCAATTTTGTATATCATTCATTTTTTATATAATGTTGTTTGATTCACTAAAAATTTATTCCCTAGTGTATTCTATTGTTAGGACAATTGACTAATGTAATTTTTCATTCACTAAAAGAAATGCATGATGCCATCATTGGTCATAATTTTAATGGTCTCATGACGTTTCTGACGCAATTATAATATGACTTTATAAAAGTCGCGTCAGATATAACACCCTTGAGGAAAGATAGTTTTAAAGAAGATATAACGGATAGATATTTTGGTACCTAGTTAGAATTTGAACTCTTTTCTTTTACAATACTAAAGCCAGCATGTGGAGCAGGATTTTCTTGCACTTCGGGAGCACCTGATATCACCCCGGTGTTTGGTTGGGTTCGAGTTGCTCATTCTTTAGTTTCCTATGTTGTGTTGTGTTTAGTGTAGTGTGTTTTTCTTGTTTTGCCATGGCGTTATCAATTTGTTTTCAACTTATGAGTTTGAATATTCCTTTGGTATCTTTCGCTGATATACAATACAGATACTTAGATACATGATATCAAATTCATTGTGCATAATTTTGTTTTAACAAAACTCTAGGTATCTTATTAAACATATTACAACTGTACCATCTTTAAATTAGTGATTTTCATACACACTAAAAGTCACTGAAACACATATAAAATGCATGTTTCAAGTGATGCGTAAATGTTTGGTCAGGAATCAAATTAGAAACTGTGTCCAAAATATTGAACAAATGAGATAAAAATAAAATTTATAGTAGTTTCATTTCATTAACGACGTGGTTCAAATGAAAGACAAAGGGGCATTTAGTTTAGAACTATATTTATTTATAAAGTTCGTTTTGTACATTGACGTAGACAGAATAAATAACTAAGGTTTTACGAAGCAGTGGATCGATACCACTGATGGTATACTGCTTATTCCTGAGATTATCATAAGCGCAGTAGTACCAACATGATTTATAAAACCTTCTGCAATTTTCTGTCGAAAAAGTAAGATATCAGGAAATAAAGATTTTATCTCCCTAAAGCAAAGTTGATCTTAGTTGGATGTATCTAATGGGCTTATTCCGTTCAGTTTGTGTTTAAAAAATTAAAAAAACATTAAAGAGGCCATTTTAGAAAATTTAATACAAGTTACATAATTATAACTTTAATACATTTAGGAACTATTGCAATGCAGTATATTGTTATAAAAAACGTTAAAAGAGTATGCATAAATACCTAATACCAAGATGACACCAAGCCTCAGCATTAACATTGTTAAATAGTTTACTTGTCGGCAGTTGGATGGGCAAACACACTATAAATTTTAAAAGATCGTTAAATTTATTTTTATAGGCAATGCAACACCCACATAAACTTTGATCAATTTTAATCGTTGAAACTCCTCCTATGTCAGTATTTTGTTACAGATTCAATACGTTTTGTTTTTGCATGGAGGAATTGTGTATGATGAAAATCAGAATTGTGAATCTGGCATGATGATTGTTGTCTGGGTTCTAAATTTTACTTTGTTTTATAAATATTAAGATATTTAGAAATTTGCAAATCCCTCAAACTCGTGACATAGTGGGTAATTTTAAATGGTTATAATTTTGAATAAATTAGAAAGAAAAGAGAAAAATGAATGGTGTTATGGTGTATGGGAGATTGGTGTAACAGTATTTGATTAATGGGGAATGGTGTAAAGGTGTATGGTGAAGTGTTATGGGGAATTGTATATGGTACAATGGGGAATTTTGTATCTTGCACGAGGAATGTCGTATGGTTTCTAAATTTTTGTTTGTTTTATAAATGTTAAGATATTTTGATATTTGCAATTCCCCCCAAGCTCGTTATATTGTGGGTTCTAATCGTTAATGATTTAAATATGAAATGGAAAATGTGAATGGTGTATTAGTGTAAAGGGAATAATGAATGGTGTAATGATGTATGAGGAATGGTGTATGGTGTAATGGTGTATGAGGAATAGTATATGGTGTAATAGTGTATGGTGCATGGTAAGGTGTAATAGTGTGTGAGGAATGGTGAATGATGTATGGTGTAATGGTGTATGGTGCATGGTAAGGTGTAATGGTAAAGCTGCATGGTGTAAAGGTCAATTGTTCGAGTTGGAAATTTTAACCATTCAAGAGCTGTATTAAGATTTCTATGTTATTGACAACGCTGACCACACTTATTCATCAGACACATATATACAGTTAAGTTTAACCATGCAAGGGAGGTTGGAAATTACAAAATGGAAACGATGAGAAAGTTAAACTGAGTTTCATATGATGAATATTAATAATAAAATTTACAAATTTCGTACGACCGACGCGCTTTTCTAGCCTGAACCTCATCAACCCAACATAATTTAAAATCAAGGATGCTTAAATACCTGAATACGTTTGGAGACGTAGAACCAAAGGGATCTGACACAGGTAAACTTGCAATTGAATTAAGATAGGAACAAATGGTAAAATGCACAATAATCTTGATTTAAGTGCCACTGCTTGATGGGACTAAATAGACGAATCACGTGTTTGGTTACTTAATCATTACCCTGGATATCTTTGATAATTTCTTACAACATTTGCGACTTCGTGGAAATTTATTTGCCAACTTAGTTGATAAACTGATAAGATCCAAATTTGGTATATTCGCGACGTTTTATATTCGCGTTATTTCTTCTATTCACGAAAATAAGTTGGTTTACAGTATCTATTTATATCATGATTCTACGGTTGACTTAAATGATAAGTATTTATACAGTGTCAGGAAAATATCAACTTTCTCTATGAGTTTAGAAATTTGGGAATGTCGAGGTTTACTGAGCCCTTCAACAGTTTCGTGCCGAATACAAAAGAAGTTGATATTTTTCTGACATTGATCTAATTTGTTTTACACTGCAAATACAAATTGCTACTTTTATAGTTATAAAAAAGTTAACTCAAGTCCATCCCTCAACGAGCACCAATTGTGACGAAAAGTGACGTGACATGAGATCGAAGTTGCACGAAATATCACTATGTTACTATATTTGGTGATACAAACAACTGGAAGTGTTCTAGTGACAGTATAAAGATTTGTTTCCTGATAATTTAGTAAAATAATAAACGAATGGACAAGGTGGCATCAATATATCAACCATATATGGCTATAATATTACCTCTTTGTTCTACTAAGAAAGTATTGCAGAGAGATTTGTTCATTGGCTGTGCTATCTTGTTTAAATGATAAATGTAAAGGTGATAATACACGTAATAGTTTTATTCACATTTGGAAAACAAAAAAAAACAACTTACAGAGGTAAAGATGTCATTATAAAAAACCAATTAATACTTATTTCAAATATTGGGATACGAGGTTGAAAAGAGGGGTATACCTAATGAGTGTGGAAAAAAAATAAACTCACTTTTCTGGGATTTTGTTTGGGCTCTAAAGTCATCCTTGTCGACAGAAAATTGTGCTGTCTAGATGAAAGCTTAGCGAGAATCAAATTGATCAGTTTGGAAAGTTTAATAAAAAGCAAACATATAAAACGATTTTTAGAATTCTAGAAAGTCCAACAAAAAGTTGGAATGCAATTGCCAAATATTGGCTAAAACACTTTGACAAAAAATTTGGTATCAAATATTTTATATGTACCTGTAAAGATCAAAATGGAATAAATATTAAGTATATGTCAAATATTTACCAAAAGGCGGTTACTGCATGGTGTGAATTTTAGTAAAATGACCGAACGTTAAAAAAAGGCATTCTTGAAGATAATATGAGATGGAAAGGGAAACGTTTGCTCTTCCCTTCCTTTACGAAGAGTCATATCGCCAAAACAAAAGATGTTTGGAATATCGAAACGGAAACCTTTTATAGTAATAAAATAATATTTGATAAAACAATAGATAAACGTAATTGAATATGCGAATATAATCTAATAAAGTAATTAATCCCCACTGATTGGATTAGCGAGCTAAGAAGCGCCATTAGTAACCCAACAAATTGGAAGCACATAAAAATCTAGAATAACAAAATATATGATATGAAAAGAAAATTTATTCCCACAGAAAAAAATCAATTAAAATCACTTACAAAAAAATACTGAATAAATGTACTAGTGCAAAATGTGAAACTATATAGAATAGAACATTTAATACGGAACTAGACTGACAATCAGTTAGGGAAAAGCTTCACAAGCTGCATGTATCAAACAATATTTTTCAATTCCAATAGAAATCATATCATAATATAAATTATACTGAATCTTAATTGTACCAAATGCGAAAGTGCGATGGCTTATGTAACTTATGTGGCAAATATTTTGAAACCCAATAGCATCTTATCTATTATTGTTAAAAAAAATCAAAACACCAATGAAGAAATAAAAAGATTGCTATCTCTGTGCATAGATATAACTCTTAACTTTGATGTCCAAAACATGATTATTGGATATAAGCAAGATCTTGATAAAACGCAAATAAATATTGGAAGTTTTAAAGTGTTTTCTATAAAAGTTAGTATTTGGAAAGGTCGGAACGACGACGTTAATTTCAACAGAACAGCATTTATTAAAGCATCCATCATCCTTATTCTTAAGAAAGATATGAATGATGTTATCAAAATGATCTTTTTTCTCAAATATTGTAATTACTATTGATAGTCGAATTTCCTTATTCTTTGCCTATTCTTTGCTCATTTTGTAGATATATATATACATTTTTATGACATAACTTGTGCCTCGGTATTATAGTTATAGTTATCATTTGAATACAAAAGGCACACTCAAGTTGGACTAGTGTATTTTTTGCACTTTCATTTACCAAAAAGTCGCCATTATTTATATAAGTTAATTTTATAATTTATATTTATTTATAGGTTTCATAACGAGTGAGGGTTAGATATCGGCGAGTTTATTATTACTATTTAAATTGAATAACGAGAGTTGATATCAAGCGATATCCAATTCTCACAAGTTGTTAAACCTTTTTCTTTTATGGTTAACACATTCATTGTGTTAAATTAAAATTCCGCGAATCGTTGATCTAGTCTTTTTCACATACCAGTATGACGTCATATGTCCTGTTCTGATGTCAAACTTTAACATCAGACATTTTAAAACTTTTTGTACGCTTCAGAATGTAATAAAATTTGACAAAAAGAAGATTTTCAAGTGAAAAGTGTGAGTATTTTGTATATTTTGAAGAAATTACACATGTCCATTGCCATGGATGAAATGTACATCGTCTTAACCTTTGAAAGTTATCGATGACCTAACGAATAGCCAATGGAAATGTCGTAATATCGTCTCATGATGATGAATAGGCCAATCAAATTAACGCATTTTTGTATCACACTCCGTGCAGTGTGATACGAGAAATATCTCTTCATGCAAGAAATAGATAACAGGCCACAACCATAAGAGAAACATATTTATATTACATAACACATAATTGTATTACTTTTTTTTTAATAGTATTTTACTTACCACAGATTGTGTTTCTTTATAAATGCACATACATTCATTTTTGACAAATAATCCTTCATCGAAAATTCTAAAGTGTTTGTCGATGTCAATATCTAACAGGCATTTAACCGGGAACACAATTTAAATAACACAAGATTTCATACAGTAATTGGTTATCTTTTCTTTACACGAGCTAGGATTTGAACTTTAAACTGTGCAAACGGTTAGAAAGGACAAAATAACAGTTATATATATTTTATAACTGTATTTAAAAAGGATTAATTTATATGAAAATGCCAGATTTCAAGGTGTGTAGAATACAGTAACTAATTGAAAACAGATGCTGGTTTTTATATTGAATATATTATGTAGACAGTATTTTTGTTCACCCATTTGTATTTTCCCTGGCAGAAAGGTTATGTAAAATAAAAGCAGGGACTCCTCTGTCAACTGCCCTGGACTGCTTAGAGTTTATGTATCCAGGTGACTTAAAAGAAAAATAATATATACAACAACAAAAAATACAGTACATATACATGTCCATTCTAGTGCAGATTATATTAATATTTTATCGTTATAGTATGAAGATTATATTTCTTAGTAATACAAGTAATCATTTGCAGACTGTACAATGTAAATCAATCCTGTTATACACCATAAAACGAAATGTTTCTTTTGATGAACACATTAAAGACTTGTATTCGCATAGTATCGAAATACAATAAGCATTTTAATAAGATAATAGTTTCTTTAAAAATAAAATTAGCTAGTAGTCTTTGATATTTAGAAAAAATGAAGGAATAGACAACCTGGGACCGAGAGACTATATTGATATTGTAAGTCACAGGTGC